GCAATAGCAAACATCACGAACTGTTACAATTTTAGTCACTGGAGAAAACACTTCACAAAAATCCTCCCCTTCGATTTGAGTATAGCCCTTAGCCACAAGCCACACTTTGTATCTTTCCACAGACCATCAGCATTTCGCTTGATCTTGTATACCAACTTAGAACCAACAGCCTTCTTACCGACAAGTAACTGAGTCAATTCCCAGGTATAATTGATCTCGAGAGCCTCAAGCTCTTTATTCATGGTCTCTATCCATTTAAGTTTAGTTCTAGCCTAATTAAAAGTACTAGGTTCAGAAGTATCAGACACATTAGCAACAAAATTCTTATATGCACAAGAAGGAAGAAAAGAAGAATCAAGAGGTGGAGTTAAACAGACAAAGGTGGTTTCATAATCTTGCATCCAGGCAGGACGCTTCCTGTCACGAGTACTAACCCTAAGAAGCAGTGGATTAGAAGTAGAAGAACCAAGAGTAGATGATGTAGGAGAAACAGAAGGTGAAGATGAAGAATATGACTCAGTAGAATAATCAGAAGACAAAGGATTTAGGGGTGAAGAATCAAGGTTGTCAGAAAAGTGAGAAGGTGAAGTAGAAGTAGGAATAACAGGATCAGATGGAACACTATAAGAAAGTTGAATGACAGAAGAGTCATCAACATGAACAGAAGGAAATACTTGTTCATGAAAAGTGACATCCCGGGAAACCAAAATTTATTTAATGATGGGACATATATTTTATAGCATTTGCATGGGGATATCCTACAAAAAACACCCTCAAAAGATTTTGGATCGAATTTATCTCGACAAGGTCCTTTATTAAGTGCAAATACTCGACACCCAAAAGTTCGTAGAATTGACAAATCAGGAGGATATTGATAGAGAATTTCAAAGGGTACTTCCACTAAAAAAGAGAAGATGGAAGTCGATTGATTAAAAAAGTGGCTCTAAGTAGTGATTCCCCCCAAAACAGCTCAGGTAATTTTGAATGCAAGAGTAAAGATCTTGCAACCTGCAAAAGGTTGCGGTGCTTACACTCCACAACACCATTAATTTGTTGTGGAATATAGACACAAGACTTCTGATGGATTATTCCATGATCATTAAATAACTGAGAACAAGAATGATTGATGAATTCAGTTCCGTTGTCTGACCGGACAATCTTAACAGGTTTATTAAACTAAACTTGAATCATCTTTATGAACTGAGACAAAAGGATAGAAACTTGGCTTTTCTGCTGAAGTAAAATTGTCCATGTACTACGACTATAGTCATGCAAAAATTCAAAACACTGTGTGGTTTGTATTGAACTCAGAGGAAAAAGAAGTTTACACTGTTTTGATAAAGGGCATATTTCACAGTGTTCTAAAGCAACTTTACAGGTAGCCAAAGAAGTACAAAGTAAATTATTTGAGCTAGCAACATGCTGTAATACAGGATAGGAAGGATGTCCTTATTTGGAGTGCAACGTAACAGGAGAAACAGTAGCTGCACAAGCAATATTGGTTGAAGAAGTATCTGAAGCAGCATTGCAAGAAGCTCTAATATGAAGCATACAGGTAGCTTAGTATTGTTGAGATTGTATGATGGCTTGTGGTGTGAAAGATTGTTCATCCAGAACGTAAAGTTCTCGGATAACCCTACCAGCCGCAAGGACCTTCCTGGTACTAAGGTCCTGCAGTAGGCAAAAATCGGCAAAAAACATTAAAAAAAAAAAAATTATGTTTGAAATCTTGGCTAATTTTCGAACGGAAAGTAGATTATATTTAAAACCAGACACATGCAAACACGAAGAAAGTGTTACAGATTCAGAAAGTGTAACATCTCCAAAGTGAGAAACATATTTAACACTTCCATCAGGAAGTGGAATCGGCATAAGTTTATCAGATGAAATAATATGATGCATGAGTGTAAGACAAGTGCACATATGACCAGTTGCTCCTGTGTCCGTAACCCAAGCCCTAGGACTTATATAATCAGAAAAATCAGAACTAAGCTTAAGGAAAGTGTTGCTACCTGAAATGTCATGGAAATGAGCCATGTTCACCATCTGCTGATTGACAGGTTCTGCAATTTGCTTCCCCTTTGAAAGTCTCTCCAACTGTTGTTGTATAGCCAGGACCATAGAATGAAGCTGATCAGGATTTGCAGCTGTATCCTCCAGTGGAGAGTTAAGTACCTCTGAGTTGACCATGTTAGCAGAACCATACTTCTGAGAGTAGTCACTGATCTAGCAGAAATTGATGATGAACTCTTCTTAGAAGACCACCACTCTGGATACCCATTCAACTTGAAGCATCCATCTTTCAAGTGCCATGTTCCTTGACAAAAGTCACACTTCATATTGGCCTTATCAGTTGCAGTGAGCTTCAACTTAAAACAGTCAGTCTTCAAGTGTCCATTAGTCTTGCAGTAAGTACAAAATAAAGTCCCATTGCTTTGCTTAACCTGATTATTGTTACTAGGACGTGTCAGATTTCTCTTCCATTCGGGTATCTTAACCATCATTGCAACATTGTCATTGCCACTTGCTGCTATATTTGTGCTAACTTGCCAGTGTGATTCTGCTTTTAACAGGAGATGATAAACCTTCCCTTCTGATGGTAAAGGATCCATGAATAAAATCTGATTCTTCTCATGCGCATATATTTCGTTCAAGCCCATCAAAAACTCTATGGTCTTATCTTTAAGTTCCCTGACTGATAATAACTCCCCAACTTCCCCTGTAATCACAAGAGTAGGCCTTAATTGTTCATATTGATCCCAGAACTGCGATATTTTTCCATAATATTGTGACATAGTCATAGTTCCCTGCTTAATCAGTGCTAACTCTCGTTTAAGTTCAAACAATTGAGGTGCAATCGTGGTGCCATAACGCTGCTCTAACTGTTTCCATAAAGTTCTAGCATCACGCACAAAAGTAAACATAGTTGCAATCTCAGGTACAATCGAACTTTTAATCCAAGAACACACCATGCTATTTTCCCGATTCCACTTAATACATTTCAAAGTACCTTCTGGAGGCATAGGAAAACCTTCTACAAAACCTAGCTTCAATTTTGCCTCTAAAGCACGAATTATAGCATCTTTCCATACTAAGTAATTCTTCTCATTTAACAGAGTCGTAACCAAATGAGTACCTGGATTTTCAGATACATGAACATGCAGCTGCTCCTCAATGCTCATCTAGTTCTCTGCGGGTTGCCTCATCCATCACCGGTCTTCGAAGGATTGCTTCGTTCATGTTGAAATTAAGGAAAAAATTGTTGTTACTTGCTTTGCAAAAGAAAATCCCCAAATTCCTCGAACCCTAGACCTGACGAACTAATCGATCAATTTGATTTTATATTGGCAGCAAAATACAGAGCATGCCTAAACCTGCTCTGATACCATAAAAGAATCAAAAAAGTAAAGCATAATTGAAATCAACAAGATCAGAAATGGCAGAAAGAAGATTTGGTATGGAAAACTCAGAACGGACTCTGAAAGAAAACTCTATCGATGACAGTTATTATTATTATCTGAAAACCTTGCCTTACAAAACGGTTTTACAAGTTTCTTATATACTATACTAACAAACTAACTTTCTAGTATTTACAATCAGATGACTGAACTGCCTAATATTTATAATTAAGGACAATCCAGCCAAAAACACAAACACCAACAGATCAAGTGATCCCAGGATCGAATCCTGTTTGTGGGATCATCATGTATACAGACTCCTTCATTTGATGAGTCTTTAGTATATTGTGTCATTGTATAGTTAACAATTATTTATCGTAATCCAATGAATATTTTAGAGTAACTATGCGTCTTAAAATAATTCTTATAATTTTGTATAGATTATTGTAGAAAAATTGATAATAATAGTGAAACTCACAAACCAACAGCCACAAGAGTTTCGGACGACAATGCTAGAACTAGTCATCCCAGAGACACAATTGAAAGCTCAGTATGAATTAAGTTTTACCTTTACGGGTAAAAAATATATAATAATGTATAAAATGTCAATTGAACCCTAAACATAGAGGTACATCGTTAAAATAAATAAAAGACTTTATAACCAAAAAAAAAAAAAAAACACCTATCCAATCAAACAATTGCTCATTTCTTATACATGAAGGTTAACTGGGTGATGCCCCAAGAGAATTGTTCAAGAGTTTTTGAAATGAAACATTGGAAATTGGCAAGCTGAAAGGGATATTATTTTCATGTCAAAAAAGCAAAAGAACAGAGGAATTCAGGAGGGAATCCCAAAGAGACCTACTACTACTACCCCTTCTCTCTCCCAAATCCAAAATCCAACCCAACCCAGCAAAGGTGCAGAACAAAAGGCAAAGGGCCAAAGGCAAAAGGAAATGATTGCTTGAATGAAACCGGACCCACCCCCTCCCTCCTCCTCTCTCACCTTTGATAAATCTTTCCCCTTTCTAATAAGTCTCTCACAAAAAATTTTATTTTTTTGACTTGGGATTGGGACCTACCTTTGGCCACCATTGTCTTTATGGATTGAATGATAAAAAGAGCACCTCACGTGGATTCTGAACCAAAGGGTCTGTCCAGCCACAATAAAAAGAAAAATTCAGAAAAAAATAAATCCCCCCCAAAAAAGAAACTAAACTAATTCATTCCCTCCTCTTAATTTATCATTCACATTTCATAATTCCCCTCAACTAAATAATTCAGTAACACAAATAATCACACTTATTCTCATATTCGTGAGAATTATTAATCAATGACTTGAGCGTTTCTTGATTCACTTATTCAGTTGAAATAGTTAATTCTAATGTCTGAAACCTTCAAACGTAGTAATGAGAAAATAAAAAGAAATAAACATCACAATCATACTGCCCATTTCTTTTTATTTCCAAATTACTCCCCTTATCTAATTTCGTTGTCCCTTAAAGACATTTAAAAAAAAAAAAACCCAAAGCCTCCAATAAAAGCACTTATTTTTCTTTTTCCCCTTGTCAAAATTTTTTTGCTTTTTAAAGCTCAAGCTGTATAATTCCCACTCATTATCTTTGTTGCTTAAAGCTCCCTTATCCTTCATTTCCCTCTCTCTCTCTCTCTCTCTTTCCCTTTCTCTTTCCTTTCTCTCTTCCTACTCTCCATTGTTGAAACCAAACTCATCCAATGAGAAGGAAAAATCCAGGCAACAATCCACACACAGAAACATGGTATACTACTACTACTACTACTACTACTCATAACTAACTTACTTTTGATGGTAAATATTATTACTATTTTCACATTCTAGAGTATTCAAAACAAGAAAGAAAAAATATAAATTACTTAAATCTTCTTCTTCTAGCTAGCTAGCTAGCCCCCTACTCTTTCTTTTATCACTGTTTTTTTCTCCAAAAAAAAAAAGAAATTCATTTCTCAAAGTACAAAAGAAGGAGAAAAAGTAGTTTAAGTTAGCTTAGAGAGAAATATATATTAGTTATTTTCTTAGAAAAAAAGAGAAGAAAAGTGTTGTTAGTTTTGTAGGGTGTCATTTCTCATGTGATCATGGAAGGAGGTGATGATCATCATCTCCACCACCACCACCAACACCACCACCAATATCACCACCGTCCCAACTTTCCGTTCCAATTACTCGAGAAGAAACTCGAAGACGAATCCGCCTCGTGCTCCAGCTCCGGCGGCGGCGTCGGGTTTCCATCATTAGCCATCTCAACGTCAGTCACACCGGATAACAATAACAACAACAACAACCCATTATCAGCAAGATCCACGACGACAACGTCATCCTCTCTTCAAATCTCATCATCCTCGGCTTCCGCAGCCGCGGCGGCCGAGCCATCGTCGAAGAAGCCGCCACCGAAGCGTACTTCGACCAAAGACCGGCACACGAAAGTCGACGGCCGCGGCCGAAGGATACGCATGCCGGCGCTTTGTGCCGCTAGGGTTTTCCAGCTAACTCGGGAATTAGGCCACAAGTCCGACGGCGAAACTATCGAATGGCTTCTCCAGCAAGCTGAGCCGGCCGTTATAGCCGCCACGGGGACAGGTACGATACCGGCAAACTTCACGTCGTTAAATATTTCCTTGAGAAGTTCCGGCTCCAGCATGTCCGTGCCTTCCCAACTCCGATCAACTTACTTCAACCCAAATTTCTCGCTGCCGCAACGGAGAAGTCTTTTTCCGGGAATCGGGTTGTCTCCGGAAAGTCCTTCCACGACTTTGCTGAATTTTCAGTCCGGGAATTTGAACTTAAACCCTAGTTTGATGCATCAAGCTAAGCAGGAACTCAGGGAAAATACGCTCGACTTGACGGAGGCCGCCGGCGGGGAGGAAAGCCCGTTAGGGAGGAAAAGAAGACCGGAGCCGGAATTACAACTTACACAGCAACAACATGAGCAGCAACAATCACATCATCATCACCAGCAGTTAGGGAATTATTTGGTGCAGAGTAGTACCGGGGCGATGCCGGCGAGCCACGCTTCGATCCCGGCGAATTTTTGGATGGTGCAAGCGAATTCCGGCAACCAAGTTATGGGAGGAGGTGATCCGGTGTGGACATTTCCGAACGTGAATAATAGTGCTGCTGCTTTGTATAGAGGTACCATGTCAAGTGGGCTCCATTTTATGAATTTTCCTACACCGGTGGCGCTTTTGCCTAGTCAGCAACTCGGCCAGGGTAGTAATATTGGCGGCGGCGGTGGAGGCAGCGGCGGTGGCGGTGGCGGAGGAGGTGGCGGGGGGACGGTTTTAGGAGATCCACAACTGGGAATGGGAGTGTTTGCTGGGCTAAACCCGTACCGGTCGGGTGGTGGCGGTGGCGGTAGTGGCGGGGGCGTGGCAGAATCTCCGGGAAGTGGGTCCCACTCGCACCACGGCGGCGGGGGAGATGATCGGCACGACAATACAAGTCACCATTCCATTCATAGAGAATGATTCTTCTTCTTGGTCATCATCATCATCACCATTTCTCTTCATGTGTAGTTTGATTTGTAACACACGTGAGGTTTGATTAATTTGGCGCTCCAAAAAATTTGATTTTTTTTTAATCTTTTATTTTTGGGCTTTTTTTTCCCTCCTCCTCCATCTAATTTGTTTTCCCAATTTTTTTGTGTGATTAAATATGAGAGATTTAGGGTTTGCAAAAAAAAGAAGGCAATATTCTAACCGGTGGTCTTGGTGGTTCTTATTTTTTTGTTTATCCAAAAGTGTCATTTGGATTTGAGTTAAGTAACACAATATCTTATGACCATTGTTTTTTTTTGGCAATTCCTTGTTCATCAACAAACATATTTGTACATGTAATATTGATTAATTTATAATGGCTTCTTTCTTTCTTTCTTTTCGCATGATATAAAGTATCAATTGAAACTTGGATTAATAACTTCTGATTTCTCCATTCTAAAATGATTATCTTGGCTGTTTTATTAAATTCCATAATTATTTCTGAGCGAAGAGAAGAGAGCATTATTTTCGTTAATTTACGGTAGTTAATCTTATTCAGTCAAAGTGACAGCTAGAGTAGTCTTACAAGCTATGACCATTCTTAATTTTCCATCTGAGAATGTTTTTGGATTGAAGAAGAGTTTAACTTGGACTAATAATAGTAAAGTTATCTTATATTCTCCACTTTCAAATCTTCTTTCTCCAAGATTCACTGTGCATGTTGCATAGCTAGCATGCATTTCCCATTTTTACGTCTTCAACTCCAAAACTTGAGGATTTGGTAGAGGCTCCACGTCTCTTTCATTCCTATTTTCATATCCGCCCTCAAGTTCAAATCACTACTCTCATATCAGAAATAGATTTTTTTTTTTTTTTTTTTTGCAACTTTGTATTGTGTTTGTTCAAGAAACATGATTTTATTTTGAAACGAACAATATATTTCATTCCAATTGGGAAGTTAGATGGCTTTTGAGTGTAATGTGACAATGTAATTTTGTTCGGTTATACACTTTTCAATTACAACATCAGTTATATAGAAACTTATTGGTAGATGTTAAATATGAGAATGACTAAAAAGTAAAAGGCTCTCTTATTAAAAAAGAGTTCAAAACCTAAATGATATAAGTTCAAATCATGCTTAGACTTTTACTTGAGACTCCCTAAGTATTGTTGCTCTTGAATAATGAGGGAAACAGATACTTTGATCCTGATTCTCTTATACATGAGAGTGTCTGACATTTACAAATCGGCTTACTTAAAAAAACCCACAACAACACTCATGTATTGTAGATACGAGGGGTAAAAAAGAAAGGTTTTATCAATATGTAGGAGAGGAGTCGAAGAGACTCTGATTTTCCTAGTGATTCTACATCTGCCATGAAATTTCAAGTATGTAGCTTCCAATTTCCATCATTTATGATTAAAGAGTGGTTTTTTTAATTTATTTTTAAATGTTAGTAATTCTTTTTATTTTTTCTTTTTATTTTTTGCATTTGTAGAGAGATGGGCCTTAGTAACAGAACTGGGTGGGGGCCCATACCTTATCAGCTCCAGGTGTTGGCTCAGGTGGCGAGGCCCACATGCTGGTAATTGCCTAAACCAATGTACAAATACTTACAATATTATCACAGACAAACAGGTGGATCATTCCTCCTTTTCTTTTTCTTTCCTTTTCTCTCTCTCTTTTATTTAATTTTACAAAAAAAAAAAAAAAAAAAAAAATTAAAAAGAGCAAAGCTGGCACTATAAAAGATCAGTGGTGGGTGTTCTTGGCCCTACCTCGAACATGGCCCACCATCTCATTGATCTGGACCGTTCAATAGAAGTTTAATGCGGGTCCGGTTTGTCATAGGGCTCACTGAATGATTAGTTCTCGGCTATGGAGAAATGTGTAGAGTTTAATCAAAGCGGTTGTGGTGGAGTGAAAGAGACTCCTACACCCTTAATCATAGATCGATGTTCTAAATAGTTTGGCCAACTGTCTCACCGATCGAGGTGCCTACAATTCAGCGAGTGGGATTAGTCACTGCTCTCAACGGTATATACCCTGCAAATATGCAAAAAAAAAGAAAAAGTGTAGAATCTATTAATGTTTCTCCTAAATTAATATATAATTATCTAGTTTGAATTTTCATTTTTAATATGAATTATAATAAAAATGAAAAATTAGGGGATACATAGTGCTCTAGTCCTTAGTATTCGCGAGTTGTTGAAGAGATCATAGTTTGAAGCATGTTTATCAATAAGTTAAATTCGTGATAGATTGCTTAGCAGAAGTTGCTTCTCGAAATCGAAGAGAATTACAACACTTGCATGTCTTGCCGATTGAAGTTATATTGGTGTGGTTGAACACGATGTTATTGGTGTTTCTTACCTCGTAACATTTTAGTTTCTTATCATTAGGTTTCGGCCTTTTTTATTTTACCAAATAAATTTCAATTATTTTGGGACAAAGAAAATTGAGGAACGTAAACAGTATAATAGAGAAAGTTTAACTGAGTCACGCATTAGGGTTTCATTTTTCCTTGACTAATATCAGTCGAATCTCACTTTAGACATCAAGTAGCCTTGGAAGCCTGATCAACAGTTCCATCTTGTTAAGTGTTTACAATTCAATAAGAAATTCTCAGTAGATTAATACATAGTAGAGAATGTTTATTAGTAAAAAGCTAAAATTAGTGAAGCTAGAAAATTGAATGAGTGATGTGTTGAATAATCCATTCCTCTCATGATTAAGTTAAGTTGATCACATTTTTTAGACGATGGAAGTATTGTTTTATTCTAGATTTTTTTTTTTGGATACAATCATGGCCTCATGGGAGATTATACATTTTTATATTAATGTTTTGTCATTCTCTCTTATTTTACTGAACCGGTTTATTATTATTATCATATCCTATTCACATCAAAAGAATTTTTAGTTGGCAAATCTAATAATGATGTAGTAGCTTCTTCTTCTTCTTGGGCTGTCACAGAATGTATAATCATCATCCTTTTGTCTCTGGAATGTCCTTTATAATTAACAATAACTAAAAAAATACTACTTACAAATGGAAGGATATGAATGCAAATAGTGATAAGATAAAATATTTTCTTTAATGGGATTAAGTATGTATATGTGGTAGAAAATAAGAATTTTGATTGCTCCAGAAAGATATACAACACATCTGTCACATCATCCCAAAAAGAACACAAAATTTTAATACTTTTTTTTTTTTTAAAACAAATATGTCATTTGGTTATGGGATGGAATCCCATAAGATCGGAATGAATCCGATTTGATGATGCAATTGCAAGTGGGTATATAAAAAAAATGGGACTCTTTTGTACGTCTTTGGTAATTTTTAGCAATTTGAGGAAGAAAAAATTGCATAGATTCTGTGTTCTTAGATTAGATGCGCTTCCGTCCTGGGAGTCCTTCCCAAAAGTTGTCAGGACTCAGGACACTTAATCAATGATGATGATGTTAGCACAAAAATATAAAAAACACATGTTTGTTTTTTCCTTAATAGGATTATTGATTTGGACTATGTAATATATCATCAGTAGTTAATTAGTGTTTGCATGAGTTCTATAATTTAATTTTGTGCTTTTTTTTTTTTTTCTTTGGGCAACTTCATGTATCCAGATGACAATTTTTTGTAAGCATTTTTTTCTTTTGCACATGTCGTTTAATTTAGTTAGAGATCATCAAGGGCTTTATTGTTTTAGACCCCTGTGTGGTCGGTCTTCTTTCTCTTGACAAAATGTATCATCTACTACTAGTTTCAGCTTTGCTAGTGTTCTTTGAAGTGATAAACAAAGATAACTAAAACTTAATTATCACCTCTTGATCTAGAGGATTGGTTACTGCTAAATTTGACTAATGCTTTAGATTTCAAGACTGATGGGTGGGAGACGGTTTTTGGCGTTGCTGCTTGGAGGATTTGGATTGCTTGCAATCGAAGGATTTTTCAGGGAGACGTGGTGAACGGTGCGGGTGTTATCAAGGAAGTGGAAAGGTGGAGTAGTTCTGTGCCGGCAGCAATTGCTGGTGAAAGGAGGATTGGTGGTTTTGGAGTTTGTCGTGAGAAGGTCTGGGTGCGGTGGAATTTCCCGCCGGAGAACTGGGTGAAGGTGAATACGGATGGTATATTTATTCCGATTTCTGGAATGACAAGTGTTAGGGGTGTAGTTAGAGATCACTGTGGTTGGTGGATTGAGGGATTTATTATGAATATCGGGTATAGCTCTATCACGGGAGCAGAATTATGAGATCTTTATCAAGGATTCAATTTGGCTTGGGAGTTAGGATTTCGGAATGTGATTGCTGAATCTGACAGTTTGAGTGTGGTCTCGATGGTTTGAGAAGAGGAAGTGGATGCTGAAATACATACGGTTTTAGTCTGTAGTATCCGGCAACTCCTGAACATGCAATGGAACATTCGATTGGCTCGTGTTTACAAAGAGGCTAATTTTGTGGTGGATTGTTTGGCGGAAGTGGCTTCATGGAGTCCGGGTGGTTTTCGAAGGTTATTGGTCCTGCCGTTGGAGGTACGAGAATGGCTTCAACATGATCTTGTCGGGGTCGCATATCCAAGGCAAGTCGTAATTTCTTGTAACTCGGCTACGACCTCTCTTATTGTACCAAGAAAAAAAAACTTAATTTCTCTGAAAAAGTAATAGATTTAATATAGCGACTGATGTATCAATCACTAATTAAGGGTATAGTGTGATGATAGAATTTTGACAATAAGTTATAATCACACACTAACCACTAAGAAGTGACTATGAACTCATTGTTTCAATAGAGTAAATTCCATAGTAGGATATTTACATCATAACAAAATACTATATTACTTAATTTTATTAATTAATTAATGTTAGTCTATTCTTGTTGAAAACCGTAGTTTCAATTCCTCTCGACAATGAAAATTTTCCCATTAGATTGTTACTCACTTCTTCTTCTTTCGTTTTTCTTTCTTTTCTTCTTAATTATTGAACTTGCTTCTTTTATTTATCTGAAAAAACTAATCTCGCGGAGACATTGAGACATTGTATGTGACGATATTACTTGAATAGAAATCCCCTCCAAACGCGTAATGTTAAATAATTTTTTTTTAAAATATTACTTTCGTGTCGACGAACTGTATAGAAAGCCCCTCCAGATGTTTTCTTCATCATTATGTGTATGTTTTTCCTTTTCCCTTTTTCTAGTAATTTTGTTTTCCCCAACCAAATAGGCAAATATTAATCGTAATTCTACTCATTTTTCAGGTGGCATGATCAAGAAAAGAGGCTTTAATTGCCTCCAAATCCATGCACTTCAAAAAGACCTAAAAAAAGAAAATCAAGAGTGATGAAACCAAAGGAAAAGAAGAAGCACTCATGGTGTTGAGCAGAGAGACTACTTGAAATCTACCCAAATATGTGGTGTGACCTTGATCAGAGTAATACCAATAAAACAGTTGGCATTCTCAAGTGGTTGGAAATGGATTGAACAAAAATATCATCACTTTTTTCCCCTTACTATTATGGTAGCTTTTAATATGATATTTTTATTTTATATTTTTTCTTTTTGTTATTGATAGA